AGAGAATTTGATAGTTTGTAAGCCTGATTAATCCATCAATCAATTAATCCATTGACTTAACAAATAGATGAGTACTGACTATGTTTTAGAGAGATACTGGTGACCAACGCAGGCACAATCCCTGCCTTCATGGAGCTAATGGTCTAGTGAGGCAAGCAAATACAGAAAAGCAAGTCTGGGGACAATTATAATACAGAGGGATAAATATGATCAAGTGGCCATAAGGTTCTATGTGAATACAAGGGGTAGGGATGACTCAGGCCTGGGGATCAGGAAAGTTTTCCTGGAGGTAGAATGACTTAGCTAGACCACAAAGCAGACTTAGCTAGACCAAAAATTTGTGGGGAGAACAAAGCTCTGAAAGCAAGAGAGAGTAAAGCGTGGAATTTGGTGTGGCTACAGTGTAATGTTTGACTGCTTCACCTTGGTGACGAGGCAAACGGTGGCACAGAAGAGGTCTGCAGGAGCTGGGTCACATGACCATCTCCACACAGGTTTGCATTTCTCAGATTGAGTGCATTCTCATGTCACTTTGGAAGTCTCGCTGGTCCTGCTTACAGACCCGCCATGTGTGATTGGCAGGTTGTGCCCTGCATGAAAGCGTGGTGTGGCTGAAGGCTGAGTGAGAGGCGGCTAGGTCACGGGGAAGGAGTTTCTTTGGTAGAGTGGAGCAACTGGAACATGGTTATTGCTATTAAATCTTTAGTTTTAAACAAACTGTGAGGTTACAGGGCCTTTTCATTCTTTGACTCTGAGGGTTCAGTCATGCATTATTTGGCCTGCTGATTAAGCAAAGAGAAAGGACAGGAGAGTGAGAAGTCACTGGCATCCGATACATCAAGAGCTTGTCAATTTTTTAAAAAAATGTTTTTAGTTGTAGATGGACACAATATCTTTGTTTTATTTATTTATTTATTTTATGTGGTGCTGAGGATTGAACCCAGTTCCTCACATATGCGAGGCAAGCGCTCTACCACTGAGCTACAACCCCAGCCCCCAAACCTTTAATTTTGACCATGGATTTGGTGCTTTTTTTTTTTTTTTCACCTCAACAACCTCATAATCCAGTTCCAGTAATAGCAAACAGGAGAGCAAGGAGCTGGGGCCAGGGGTGACATTCTCATTACCTAAGGACACCCTGGCTTCACTGCTTCTCAAATCTAATAATGGCAAGAGATTTTTATAAGCCTTCTAAGTACACTCTCTAGATTTTAAATTTCAATCACACTGCATCCAGAGCAAGCTGGCACATCCACATCGTGGCGTGGTCTTTTACAACTGAGCAGTTCCAGAGAGCCAGAGTTCCAAAAGCATAGCATACCTGTGCCAACTTGTTGTGGTGAAAGGATACATTATAGAGAAAGGCCCTGGGAAGTTTATAAAATATTCTGCATTGGAGAAGGTGCAGTGAAGTCAGAATACTTCCATGTGTATCCAGGTTTTTGACCATGCCATTTTGAACTATTGGACATTATGCCCTCACTGTTTTGACCCCAAGACATCTGCATTTGTGGATAAAATATTTTGATCAAAAGTATAAAAGTCCAAAACAGAGGGGAGTGAAGAGAGGGGAGGGGGCATTGGGGTAGGCATGATAGTAGAATGAATCAGACATTATTTCCCTATGTGCATATATGATTACATGACCTGTGTAATTATACATCATGTACACCCAGAAGAATGAGAAGTTATACTCCATTTATGACTGATGTGTCAAAATGCATTCTATAGACATGTATAACTAATTAGAACAAACAAAAAATATATTTAAAAAATACAAAAGTCTTGCTGGCAAGGTGGCACATGCCTGTAATCCCAGCAGTTTGGGAGACTGAGATTGGAGGATTGTGAGTTCAAAGCCAGCCTCAGCAAAAGTAAGGCTGTAAGCAACTCAGTGAGATCCTGTCTCTAAATAAAATACAAAATAGGGCTGGGGATGTGGCTCAGTAGTCAAGTGCCCCTGAATTCAATCCCCAGTTCCGAAAAAAATAAATATAATTGAGGAATGTTTTTGTCAAGAACTTTATAGAGTGAATATTATTATGTGAATTAAATTTTCTCCTTAATTACCTATCTAACAAAATGACATTTCCCATATTTGTATTGTTTTTTATTTTACTTATTTTTCCTCATGGGATCAGTCCCTTTCAATTTAAGTTTTTTTTTTTTTTGTTGTTGTTGTTGTTGTTTCTATCAGTACTTGGGATTGAACCCAGGGTCTTCAGCATACTAGGAAAATGCTCTACCACTGAACTACATCCATAGTCCTTTGTTTTATTTTGAGACAGGGTCTCACCAAATTGCCTAGGCTGGCCTTGAATTTGTGATTCCCCTCTTTCAGCTTCCTGAGTAGCAAGAATTACAGGCATGTGCTGCCATGCTCAGCTTCAATTTAAATTTTACAATGAAGATTTTATACATCAATTTTTTTTTTGTTTCATACTGAATTGGACCAATTACTTTGAGTTTTCTTTTATAGCCAGTTTCTTAAGCAATTTTCCCAGGTTGTGTTTTACTGTTCCAAAAGTTATTGTCAATTATTTTAAACACTGAAGTTTAGATTTTTGAGCTATATTCATTATAAATTGGTTGAAAACAATTGATAGTTTATATTTCTTTTTTTTTTTTTCTCTTTTTCTCCTGGTGCTGGGGACTGAATCCAGGATCTTGTGCGTGTTAGGCGAGCTCTTTATCACCAAGGTATAGCCCTAGCCCCTGTATTTATTTCTAAAGAAGTTCTTGATTTACCAAGAAAAGAAAAAAAAATTAATTCCAGTGTACAGTTTGGGGGGATTATTCAATTATTCAGGATATGTTATTATACTGCTAATCCAGTGATTTTGTGCAAAGAGAAAAACATTTTGCTTTCTCTGGGCTTTGCCTAAAAGAAGGACTAACTCTATGGTAGCAAATGATATTAGATTTAGCAGTTCTAGATTAACTCTGAAGCCTATTTAGGGACCACCAAATCTCCACATTCGGAGGTGTTTTGTTGAAGATGCCAAGGTATAATCTCTTGAATTTTTTCCTACTATAAGTGTTTCTCCTAAAATTTCTGTTCTCTCTCTTTTCTCTCTGGGTGGTGGGAGGTATGTTTTAATCTCAATCTGTTGCAACTAATACAGTTACTAATTGCTGGCAACGACTTTATTTTATTTTGCAGTATTAGGGATTGAACCCAGGCCCTTGCACATGATAAGTACATGCTCGCCTATTGAGCTATGTCCCCAGCCCCTATTTCTAATTTATTTTATTTTGGTAATTGATTTTTTGTGGTGGTGTGTGGGGTGGGGGGATCTGCTAATTCCTACTCTGTGCTTGACTTACATTCATCTTTCAACCTGGCAAGCCACTTTTGGTGAATAAGCATCATTAGAATCAAAAGCAAAGACAGAAAGAACATCCAACTCTTATTATTTCTTCACAATCAAGGAGCAGACTGCAGATGTTCGTGTTTTGATTTTGACTGGGAACACTGATGCTGACAAGAATTTTTCCATGAGATATTACAAAGTGGTCAGTTCTATGGGCTGTTTGACTAACTTCTTTGTGGTCACCCTCTGTACTAAAATGGATGAGACCATGGAGTCATTTTAAGACTAGATTGGATTCCCTAAATTCTGGGTCCAGAAAGCAAGATGGGGCAAAGGGCACGAAGCATGCCATCATTTGGACAGACCCTTTTAAACCAGAGTCATCAGTAATTTCCCAGAATGCACATGTTGTTTAGTAATAAAAGCCATACTCTGTGCTTCTTTCAGAGTGACTGAGCCAAGACTGTGTTCAGCTACTTATCCAACAATTCTAATTGAAGAAAATATTTTATTGCTTTTTTGGAAACAGCATGATGTTAAGATGCCATACTTTGTGTTAATCGGCTTTTCTTTAAATTTAACATGAACAAAGGAGGAAAGTAATTGAAAACAGACTGTGGTTGATATAAATAAGCTTTGTAAGAAAGGATCCCAGTGGATAAGGCTTAGAAATTTTGGAAGAAGTTGGTTGTCTGCGACAAAAATGAGTGCTGGGCAACGGATCTCACCCCTCCCCTCGCTTTGCCTTTAACTGCAGAAGGCAAAGGAGGAGGCTTATATAAAGGCAAGTTGTTGAATCAATATTTAGGTTGTGACTGCTTCCCCTGTAAATGAAGGTCATTTCCTATAATCTTGACTTTTAAAAAAATATCTATTTTTCAGTCTTAGGTGAACACAATATTTTGGTTTTTTTTATGTGGTACTGAGGATGGAATAGAGTGCCTCATGCATGCTAGGAGAGCACATTCTACCACTGAGCCATAACCCCAGCTGTAATCTTGACCTTGATGCTGTCCAAACCCAGTTTTCCCCAGCAGGCCCCAAGTACTGTATTAAAACAGGCCAGATCCTCTGAGGACATGCGCATGCACTTTGATGATGGATTTCTATTAAAAGAGAACACACCCCCACAGAATTACCCATGTATCATCTAGATTTCAACAGAGTACTAAGAATCCTGGGCAGGGCAAAGGACACTTGACTGCTGAACAGAATCTCAAATACTGAAAGGAACATTTATTTGATATAGGTTTGTTGCCACCCGACTTTTTGATTTGTAAAATATGAAGAATTTCATATTTAAGTTGAATTCCTGACCTGAACTGCAAGCAGTTTCCTCTCTACCCCCCAGCTGCTTAGAGCTGTCTTGCGGCAGGACTGGTATTTACTGTCTTGTTCTAATAAGTATGCAAGTAATTTTAAATTTCTCTGATTTTTAACTTGTGATGTTATTATTCTGTGCTGTTCTTCTTTTTTTTTTTTTAGATTTTAGATTTCTTTCATGGCAAGGGCACTGTATGGACTGCTATTTTCACCTCCTCGCTCTTTCTTTGGCAAAATGTGGAAAACTACTCAAAAGGACCCCTGAGAACTTAAAAAAAAAAAAAAAAATCACAAACCTCCTCAGCAATTTAGGTCTTTGGTTTCTGAGGAACCTTGGTGACTGATATTGTATCAAGACCAACATTAAGTTCAATAGCTTTTTTTATTACCTAAAATGGACAAATCAGACCAGTTCAATTGTGACCATGATAGAAACACAAATATTTTACTCAAATAAATACTAACTAGCAGGGCTGAGACAAGGGTGAGATGAGTGAGACACGAGCCTTGGGCAACTAATATAAAAAATTCAAGATGAACAAAAAATCGAAAGTTTAAATAAATAAAGGATCAGTCATGGTGTCTTGCTGAGCCATGCAGGAGCTTTTAACAGAAGGAAAAATTCAATATTACTGTTCCTGTCTTTATCTAGAATTCTGATTTTTTGTTGACCTCACTTCCTTTCCCAGGTCTCAGTCCTGCTAACCAGAATGTCAGTGCTTAGGGTAAAGGGATGGCAGAGCCCCTTCTCCAACAAGAGTTTCAAGTCTAGTTACCACTACTAGGCAACCGACATCCATAATTTTGGCCCTGGTTTGGCAGTAGTTTCATTTAGAAGGTATTTCCCAATCCAAAATGTGGAAGAGTTGTTGTGAGTTTGGTAACTGAGTCTGAAGACATCCTGTTATGAAAATCCTTTGCAAGAAACATCTGTTCAGAAAACTTGGGCCTAGGTCAATTCATCAAAAGTTCCTCCGCCCACGGTAGTTTCCTCTGGCCCTTTCTTTGTTAGTCTTGGCAGGGGAGGCCCTGTGGGGCTTCTTCCGGTATTCCACCTTAGTCCATCCTCCTTCGCTCACTTTGCTTTCCTCTTCACTGGCTTTGGAGTCAGACTCAGGGTGCAAGGGCATCCCTGGGATGGTTCTGGGTACGCGGAGTTCACTTGGTTTTCTCTTGAAGTCAGGTGACTGGTAAAGACTAAGTGCTGACTGGGACAACCTGTAGAACTTTCCAGAATATCTTTCTCTTGAAGGAGTGGAATGCTGACTTTTCCCACTGTATCTTCCTCTAGGAGAAGAATTGAGGGATGAACTACCTCGGTCATATTTGTTCCTGTTTCTGTCTGAGTAGCGGCCCCTCTCTGTAGAGCTGTCAGTGTTGAGACTGGAGAAACCACTGTCCCTGGAGTTGAGATGCAGAGAGGAGAAGTTTTTGGTCAGCCCATACTGAGTTGGGGAGGAGCTTCTGGACTGGTTGATAGGAGTAATCTGTTGATACTTAATGGGCCCCTGGGTCCGCCTCACAGCTGCAGCGTAGGAATCCTGGTTGTCAAAGTATGGGAAGAATGATGACCCCAGAATAGGATTGCTCTGGGAACACGGCAGAGAAGTGTTGGATGCAATCTGCCGCATCCTCAGAGTGTCTAACCAGTGGCAGTCAGCACCTGCAGGAGAAATGGAAATGAGCATCCTTTAAGGCACGCTGAAGCTGCATGTCTAACTCACAAGACTGTCTCAGGGGAACGCAAGGCTGTTTGGAACACGCTAAGCTTTACCATTCATAGAAATTCTAGACTAGTATAAGGGCATTTCCTATATTAGTACAAGAACTTTTTATTCCCCCCAATAAGGACATTGGCACTGAGTATATGTCATGTGCTTGGCATTGTCCAATTCTTCTGCTGATTTCTCAGGTAAATACTAATAATCTTATTCTATAAATGAGGAAGCTTGAAAGGTCAGGTAACTTGCCCAAGTTCACTCATTCAATTACCCCAGGTCCTTCTGCATGTAAATCCCACCTTCTTCCTATGTAGTTGTGTTTTCACTTGTAGATACTGCTGTTTGTGCTTGGGTGTCAGGGGCATGTTTTATAAACTAAAGGCTTTTTGCCAACCTGGTGCTTTGAAACCCTCAAAGACCCAAAGGCAGATAAAAGCAGTAAAGTTCCAAAGGTGCAAACAGTCAGGTGTTTGGAAGGAAGACAGCGTATCTCCAGAGAACTGCCAGTAGGTCAGCAAGGAGGAGAGCTTTCAGTAATAAGAAATGAAGCTGTGTGTCAGGTAGGAAGAAGTGAGGGTAAAAGAAAAAGCCTAATTTGCAAGGAGCACTTAGTAAGCTGTATTTCAGTGGCCACACAAGTTCCTCTCATTGGGATCTCCTTGTCTTCCCAGGGCCTGAACTGTGCTGCCCACAGGCCAGAGTTCTGGGTGGTGCTCCCTGCCATATTCCCTCCCCTTCTCTGTCTCTGCATATGCTGATGGAACTTTCTGGAGGGGAGCAGCATGTGCTCACTTCTCTTTGCCTCCCTCTCTGCCTGGGCACAGATGATCAGCACCCTGGGGGTGAGGGACTTGTGCTGACACCAGTGGCCTGTGCATAGGAATCTTCAGTCAACCTTGATGCCTTCTTTTGTTGTGTCTTACCATAACAAAACATATATTTTTAAGTGTACAGTTCAGAAATGATGAGTATATTTACATTGTTGTCCACCAGATCTCTAGATGGTTTCTTCTTGCAACATGGAAATTCTGTGCCCACTAAACACCACTTCCTCCTTCCCCTCCTCCCTCTTCCCACCCCTTGGCATCTACCTTGACTTTGTTTCTATGTTTTTTTTGTTTTTTTTTCCAAACCAGGGATTGAACCAGGGAAGTTTAACCACTGAGTCATATCTCCAGTCTTTTAAAAATATTTTATTTAGGGTCTCACTGAGTTGCTTATGGCCTCTCTAAATTGTTGAGGCTGGCTTTGAACTTGTGATCCTCCTGCCTCAGCCTCCCAAGCTGCTGGGATTACAGGCATGTGTCACCATGTTGGCTTGTTTCTATGGTTTTGATTATTCTAGAAACTTCATACACACAGAATCACATAGTGTCACAATGCCATCTTTCCCTCACCTTGACTTCTCTGAAAATTTAGCTTCCCATAGAGCCCTGATTTTGTTTGGTCTCCAGCCCCAGTAGCCACTTTCTGGCTTGGTTAGTCTAAGCCAGATGTGCTGATGGTGGGAATGGATAAGCCAAAGCAGAATTGGTGAGGGGTAGTCCGCTGGAATCTTCTAGGAAAGCTTTCATCATTCCTTAATGTGAGAACAGGAGCGGGGACTTCACACCTCATTTCCTTTGGGCACTGTCATATCTTCACATGACAATAAATACAAGAGGGTCTAGACTGAGAGTCAAGCCAACAGGGTGAGTATGATAGAGTGGAATGAAGGAAAGGGGGTTCCCTGACCTCAACATCACTGAACTGGTTCATCTTCCTGCCTGTGCCCCCTCTGGACTTCTTAAGGAAGACAAAACATTTTACTGTAATTTAAATCAGTGGCTGAGGGACTTCAGAATACCTCTGAATTACCTGCAGGGCTTCTTAAAATGTAGATTGCTGGTTCTTCCCCCAGATTTCTAATTCAGTAGGTTTGAGGCTGGGCCTTAAAGTCTGCATTTCTAACAAGTTCATGGGGGTGATCTGGATGCCGTTGGTCTTCAGATCACCCTTTGACCATCCTCGAAGGAGGTCAGTGGAAACTGGGTTTCCTGCTACTTGCAGCTGAAAGAATCTTGGCTGATTGTTAGGAGGCTGAGGCAGGAGGGTTTCAAGTTCAAAGCCAGCCTCAGCAACGGTGAGGCACTAAGCAACTCAATGAGATTCTGTCTCTAAATGAAATACAAATAGTGCTGGGGATGTGGCTCAGTGGTTGAGTGCCCCTGAGTTCAATCCTCAGTATACCCCCTCCGCCCAAAAAAGAGATCTTAGCTGATTGGGTGGAATCCTTCGGGGCTTCATATCATATTGGATAAAGGGTTAAAAAGGAATACAGGGAGAATGGAAGGGAGGTGAACTGGCCCAAACTGGAGTAAGTCAAAGGGAAACCAATGTTGCAAACTCTCCAGTTGATATTGAGAGGGTAGAAATTCATCTGGAGCAACTCCAAATAAAAGTCAAGATAGAAGCGAAGATAGAAGGGCTCTCACTGACCATTCCTGCATACATCTTTAGAGAAAGAATAACTTACTGTCTTTTAAAAGATTTATATTTAAGAGAAATAGAGGGCACATTGGAAGTCTGCCCATTGTACTGTTCGGAGAAGGGTATCCCTGCCTCCATCCCTCAGGTCACAGCATGTTGCTGTGACTCTCTGCCATCCATCACCATCTCATTCTGACCACTTGGTTCACTGGTCCATGGAGAATGCTTGGGAGAAAAAAATAGCACCCATAGGCTAGAGGTACCATAAGATCCCCCAGGGAATTTGGAATCAGGGCTGATCGAGTTTCTATTGGGTGACTTTGAACAGGGTAGGATTTCAACTATGTAAAACTTTGAAGGTGATGGCAGACATTTTGTGTCCTGGAAGCATTATATTGGAAACCTGGGGAGGCTGAGGCAGGAGGATCACAGGTGTAGGGAAATAGAAAACCACTATGGAAGAGAAAAATACAGCAGAAATGTAGAAAGAAGGCCCCCATCCTGGTTTCACAGGGGTAGTAGGGATCAAAGCTATGAAGCCTGTAGAAGTAACACATGCCCTATAAACGTTAGTGATTATAGAAAAAAGTCCTTGAAGGTATGATAGTGGGCATGCCAGGCAGCACTCGTTGAATTAACAAATAGAAAATAACTTGGAGGGGGAAGCTGATGGGAATCCATGTCTATGGTGTAGAATAGTTGTTTGTAGAAACAGCACACCTAAAATATGTTTCCCAATGTGTTTGTAGACAAGACAACTTCATAAAAACTTAAGCCCAATCAGCATGGTCAGAATGGCCTCGTTATCAGAACATAACCGAACCAACTATGTGGACAAAGGTGGATAGCTTTGGCATGCTGTCAGAAAATTTCTTGGTGGATAAAAGCAGGATTCTGGGCACATTGGTTAATGGACATTTAAGAATAGCTGGGCTGGGCATGGTGATATGCACTCATAATCCCAGCAGCTGGGGAGGCTGAGGCAGGTGGATCCCAGGTTCATAGCCAGCCTGAGCAATTTAGAGAGACCCTAAGCAACTTAGTGATACCCTGTCTCAAAATAAAAACAAAAAAAGGGCTGGAGATATAGGTCAGTGGTAAAGCACCTCTGGGTTCAATCCCCAGTACCAGAAAAAAAAAAAGAATATCCAGTCATCTTGGCAGGTTCACAGAGGCCCTGGCTTGTTTCCAGGCCACCAAAGAACCTTCTCACATAGCTCCACAGGCATATTCTCCCCTTAGGAAAACAATGCACTATTCAGAAAACGTGTATTTCTGGTTTGTTTGGCGGTTGTATTTCTCATGGTGAAGAGGGAACTCCATGGGGGTTTTGTCTACATCTGTCTGCAACGTGTTTGTTAGATTGTCCCAGTTCTGCAGTTACTAGTATTTCTGGATCTACAAAGCTGAGGATCAGAACCTCTTCCTTGAATCCATCAAATAAAGACCAATTTGATAGCCAGTCAGCTAGCCTTCCTCTCTATTATTCTAAATTGTTTCTTTATATCATTTGTACTTATTATCACCACTATCCATCATTTGCATTTCAAGTTTTCCCAGTCTTCCTCTATTCTCTCTTCTTTCCTTCCTGGCCCTTGTGTGTTTTCACTCCATCCTTCCCTCATCATTCCCATGCTTTGATGTAGCAATGGTGTTCAGGACTCAAAAAAGTTGTCCCCATGACAGCAATGGCTTTGTAGGAATGTTTGCTACACATGGAAAATTAAAATTCATATTGGTATAGACACTTTTTTTTTTTTTTTTTTTGTACTTGGGATTGAACCCAGGGCACTTAAGCACTGAGCATGCACATCCCCAACCCTTTTTTATACTTACTTAGAGACAGGGTCTCACTAAGTTGCTTAGGGCCTTGCTAAATTGCTGAGGCTGGCTTTGAACTTGCTATCTTCCTGCCTCAGTCTCTTGAGCCACTGAGACTACAGGTGTGTGCCCACTGCACATAGTTTAGACACACTTTTGGAAACTAACCTTGCAAACACATTTTTATTTGCCAATGCAATGTAATCATAAATATTTATCTTTTATCATAGGTATTTAAATATTGAAATTTATTATAATATGCTCATTTATGTCTATAAATACAACTCTCCATACAATCTGTTTATAAAACCAATATTATAAAAGTATAAGAAGGTAGCATTATATTGAAAACCTGAGTTCATACATCGATTGGCCCTTACCTCTGCTATGAGAATTTTGTAACTTTCTGAAATCCAGTACACATGTGTTATGAGCATATGAACTTACTTGAGTTGGACCTGCTGCCAGGATTGCCCTCTGTGTTGGGGAGCGCGGTCTGGATGGAGAGCTGGACAGCTTTCACCTCATCCTGAGGCTTGGTTCTGCTCCACTGAATCGAATGGACATGTTTTGTGCTTTTTGGAGTTCTCACATCATTCTGATTAAAAAAAAAAATAGAAAAAGAAAAAGAAAGAAACCTGTGAGCAAACATATATTTAAAAATGGGAAGAAAAGAAACCTGGGTTGTTATGTCACTTCAATTTCATACCTTAAAACACTTGTCTTAAGTAAACTATTTGAATAGTTTGCCTAAATATGCTAAATTGATTAAGAGGAAAATTTTAACTACTTTATTCCTTAGTGGATTATAGCACTTTCTTCTTCTCCTTCTTCCCTCCCTCCCTTCTCCCTTCCCCCTTTCTTTCTTTCTTCCTTTCTGTGCTATAATTGAATCCAAGGTCTTAGAAATTCTAAGCATGTGTTCTTAATGCATTTTATTTCTTAAATAAAATAATTTTATTTCTTAATGGATTATAACAAATTCATCAGTAGATTCCAGTAGTAGTTACATTTGTGATTATCTTCTCTCATAATGTGTATGTGTCATTTGGCCAATCTCCACTTACCTCTTTGATAAGAAATGAAAAATAATTTCTTCTGTTTTTAGTACTTAAAAAGAGATCTTTTATTGAAGAAATGAACATTTAACACCCTTTTGGTCAAGCCAGCCTTTGGTCACAGAGAATTTGGGTGCATGTGGGGAGCTCGATGGAACTAGTCCCCATAGGAAGAGCCAAAGGTAACAGGTGCCAAGTGAGATGGGTCAAGAGTAAGAAATCAGGATCAGAAAAAGGAGAGGATACCAGATCAAGGCATGGCCCATTTCTGTTCTGAAATCTCCCTCATCACCAGGCTTCCCAAATCCATGCAGATTAAAGGGTTAAAATTCTGGGGATTTAAGTCAATGGTAAAGCTCTTGTCCAGCCCTAAGCTAGATCCCCAGCATCCCAAAACAAAACACAGCAACAATGACAACAAAGTCTCCAAGATTCAGTACAGTTACAAAACTCAGAAGTGAAAAGCACAGACACAAGTGGCTTATCATTATGGAGTTTAAAAGGGGAGGTGCAGGAGGAAGAGCAAGGGGAGTGAGGGAGAAGCAGCAAGGAACAGGTGGAGGTGTGTGCAGAAACACCTACAGCAGGCAGTGAAATCTGGCTGCTCCAACCATCTGCTTACTAAGAAGAGGGTTTTTTTTTTTTTTTTCTGGGTAGTGAGGACCTATTAACAGGTGCCAAAGGGTCTAGATGACAAGATCAAGACCAACTAACCTCCTTTGATTGAGTTTTGTGCCCTGCAAGCTATATTTTGAAAGCTCATGTTACTTCTCAGGTGCAGCATACCTGCAAACCTGTGCAGGTAAGGTTCATCACTGCCAGCAGTTCAGGCTCGGAGTGGGCTGGCCAGAGTTGGATCTCTAATACAGAAGAGCTACCAGGCTAGCTCAGGAAACCCTCTCAAAGCACAGTTTATAAAGTCCAATTTAAAGTCGACTTTAAGAAGCTAACAAGAGGGGAAAGTGTTTTTCTGGTCAGCAGATGCTGATGTGACCCCCACAGCTCTGTCACTGAGTACCTCGAGCCTCAGGACTGCCCTTCATCTCTCTGATCAACTTTCTCTATCTGAAAAATGGAGACAAGGATAACTATCTCTCAGTATTTACTTGAGGTTGGTGAGACACAGCAGGTGTCTGCATTTCTTATGGTGATTGGTTCCTGATAAATCTTTAAGAAAGTGCATGTCCTATGGATGATAGATGTATACTGATATCTTTATGTGTCCCCAGATTCTGATTATAACTGCACAATCCACCTGGCTCTGTGTAGGGTTCCACTAATTTGTAAGGACAGTATCCTACTAGCCGTGAAGATGTTGTACATTTCCGAACATTTATTGAGCCCAGCCCAGTGGTACATGCCTATAATTTCAGCACTTGGGAGGCTGAGGCAGGAAGATTGTGAGTTCAAAGCCAGCCTCAGCAATGGTGAGGCACTAAGCAACTCAGTGAGACCCTGTCTCTAAATAAAATACAAAAAAGGGCTGGGGATATGGCTCAGTGGTCAAGTGCCCCTGAGTTCAATCCCTAGTACGAAAAACAAAAAAGTCTAGTTTCAATACATTTATTAACACATATTATATTTATTTATTTTAATTTTTTCAAGTTATAAATGGACACAATACCTTTCTTTAAATTTATTTTTATGTTGTGCTGAAGATTGAACCCAGTGTCTCACACATGCTAGGCAAGCGCTACACCCCTGAGCCACAACCTCAGCCGTGAACATAGATTATTAAAACATGTTTATAGAGAGATCATTTTCTGTTAGTGTAATTTTTTAAAAAAATCAGTAAAATACATGAACTCTATTTGCTTACATTTTGAGTACAAAGTATTGTTAACTATATACACAGTATTTTACAGAAGATCTTAAAAACATAATTAGGTTCTTTCTCTCTATAGCTTAAAATGTCCACTGACTTCCCACTGTGCTTAAAGTGAATACAGGCTCCTTCCTGAACCTCCTTGCTGAGCTGGTATGGCTACCTGGCTAGCTTTGTCATGGACTCTGTTCCTTAGAGTTCAACTTGCTGTTCCAGTTCCACTTCCTGTCTCCTCCTGGAGGAGAGCTCTTCTCTCCAATCCAACACCCCAAGTTATTTCCCATCTTCTACCTCTCATTCTTTGTTGCTTAGAATATAAGTCTGAAGAGAGTACAGACCTCATCTATCCTAATTATAGAACAGTGCAGGCCAGCAGGTACTAAATGTTATGAATTTTAATTTCAACAGCAATTTTTTCTAAAATAATCCATTTTTCTATATAAAAATTTATGGAGTCTGTTCATTTTTCTTTCTTTTCTTTTTTGGTACTGGGGATTGAACCCAGGGGTGCTTAACCACTGAGCACATCCCACAGCTCTGTGTTAATATTTTTTATTTAGAGACAGGGTTTTGCTGAGTTACGTAGGGCCTCGCTAAGTTGCTGAGGCTGGCTTTGAACTCGTGATCCTCCTGTCTCAGCCTCCTGAGCTGCTGGGATTACAGACATGTACCACTGCACCCAACTGTTCATCTGTTTTTGATAAATGCACTCTTTTCCCAGGTGGAGTGGGAATTGTCTTTTGAAGAATCACTGATCTTCTCACCCTAAACTCTTAGTTCCAAGAAGGCCAAAATCTGTTTCAGTCCCTCTTTGGCATTTCTCATTCCTAACTTACTACATTCAGTCAAAGAATAAATGGGTGAAGGGTTCCCCAACCTCTATCTAGGTACTTTATCCTGTTCTCTTTTCTTCCCAACACTTCGTTAGAGAAGTTACATTAATCTCCATAATTGTGCTGGTTAAATCATGTGTCTTCCAGTAAGCGAGGTGCACTCAGAGAGACCTGATGAATCCTCACCTACTACCTGATGGTGGAGCCACCAGCCTTCCTCCCCAGGAGCTTACCTCATATGTGACAGTGCACTCCACGGTCAGGTTTTTCACAATTCCTACAATCCACTTCTCCATTACAAATGGTGGCTGGAAAACAAAAGTCAGGGTAGAATGGTACCGCAATACAACTTGCTCGGCTATAGGGTGTTTCTTTGAGGCCAGTTGTGCCATACACAGTTGGAAGATAGGGATATAGTATCAGATTAACATAGAAGTCATTTTGGTTCAAAACACACTAATGTTCTGGGTTTTTTTGTTTTTTTTTTTTAAATAAAACATCCTTTCACACATTTGTAAACAGCTAGTCCTGTTTCCCACAGTCTCCTCTTTTGTGATATAACATTCACTATCACTCAGTCCTATTATTAGCTGTTCATTCATGCTCATGTTTGAAGCATCAGCAGAAAGTTTTCTCAAAATTAAGAGAGAGCCATAATAATATGAGAAGACCGGGAAGTGTCTTCCTTGGGCAGTAGCTGGTACAGAGGTACCGACAATCCCTGAGCATCCCCTCTGTCAGGTTATCCTGCAAAGCTATGCGTACAAATAAAGACACCATGGCTGTGTGGGGGTAGGAAAGACAGTGGAATGAGATGGACATAATTACCTTAAGTATATGTATGAAAACACAAATGTTGTGACTCTACTTTGTATACAACCAGAGACATGAAAAATTGTGCTCTAGTTGTGGAATATAAATTGAATTGCATTTTGCTGTCATATATAACAAATTAGAATAAATAAAATTTAATAAAAAACAACAAAGGATTAGAGAAGAAGCCTGTACCTTGGATCCTATGTTAATTTTGATTAAAATAATCCTTATAGAAGTGAGTTGCCTTCTGCTCCCATTCTGTTGTCCCTCCAGGTTTAAAGCTACAAAACAATGACTGTCTGAGTTGGGTACAGAAATGTGCTTGATAATTGCTCACGCTGGTCTCAAACTTGCAATATCTACCTGAGCCTCCCAAGTAGCTGGGACTATAGGCCTGTGCTACTGAGTCTGTGTTTTTTTTTAATTAGGATTATTATTACTTCTGTTGGTGTTAAAATATTGTACACATTTTGAATGGTCTGCCCAATCTTATTTTTCCTATGAGCCTTGTCAATATTGGTATGCAATGTTGCATATATGGTAGTATAACCGAAACATCTGTATTCAGTTTTATGAAAAAGCATCTATACTTCCTGTCTTCAAGAAACATCAAAATAATATGCCCCCACAGCATCAAAAAAGTTAAAATTAAATCATAACCTTGACAGATAAATAATGCCACTGAAGTACCTTCCAGTTATGCAAAGGAATCCAACAACGAACATTAAGTCAGTGTGCTTGATGATGAGTCTGCTCCTATATTAAAAGGACTTGGGTGTTTAGCAATCTCATGCCTGTGTAGAACAGGAGAACGCATTTACAAGTCTAGTGCTGTGGCTCTGAACACTCATTTTTCTGTTCTACTTGTGTTTTTGTACCCTGGTTTTCTGTGACAAGTCCCATTTGCTTCCCTGAAAACAAATACACAGTCACTGGTGTCCTGGAGTTAACGGTTACTAGAGGCTCGGGCAATTGTCCCACTGTTCTTTGCCTGAAGTTGTTGCCCTTCTACAATTAAAGTGTCACGTGTATGTTTTTCAGTATGGTTGGGACGGAATGGAAATGTTTTCCATTCTGAGGAGCCAGCGAAGCACTTCTGCAAGTCTCTCTTCTGTGTTTCTATGGCTTGCTTCATACCACTTTGGAGTGGTAACATGTTCTCAGTACTTCAGGAATTCCTAGGTGCAGGGCTGGGGACATAGCTCAGTTGGTAGAGTGTTTTCCTTGCATGCACAAGGCCCTGGGTTCAATCCCCAGCAACACACACACACACACACACACACACACACACACACACTAAATTCCTTCCTTAATGGCAAGGAAGCCATTAAGACTTTAAAGTGTCCCTCAGAAATAGCCTCATCTCAGTCCTTCAAGAAAAGTCTTCCTCCTGACAAGTTTTCTGAAGTTTAAAACAATCCCAATTGAAGTAAATATTTTCATCAATAACATTTTCTTTCTTTTAATAATGATAGAGTAAGCATAAAGAAATGTAAAAGGAAATTTAAAAAATTAAACGATTCTTTTTTTTTTACAGTGCTTTTTTAGTTCACACAGCATAAGTGGAATTTTAACAAAAAACTATTATAGTCTCAATCTGCTAAATAAAATGTGCCTTTCAAGAGCCAGCTTGAGGCTGAGCTGATGTGAGCATCGACATGCACAAAAGCTCACTGCTGGGTATTTTAATGTCTTTGTTTGATATCTGTGAATTCAAAAAAGCTTTTAAGCTGTAAATAGAACCTTACCTTTGTCATCTTCAAAATCTCTGCATCAGGTAGGTTAGTGTTGAATGTCACATCTTTTATGTAGGTTATTGCAATTTCATCCCCATCCATCTCCATATACATTTTCCACTTACAATCCTGGAATTAAAAAGCAAAATTACAGAATTGAGAAAGTGAAACAATTTTTTTTTTTTTTTAGTCTCTATGTTTTATAACACACCAAGTAGTCTAAATAAATTATTATGGGAGGAGTGTTTTTTTTTTTTAAATCCTTTTTCAATATGAGGATGTGAAATTAGATCCCTTTGTATATCTAAATAATCCCCAGTTAGTGCAGCCTTGAGACATGATTTATCAGTTCAAGTGTTCTATTTAGGTGTTGCAAACCCCAAACGCTAATGGGGCCAAGCAGCTAATAAAAATAAGTGAGGCCAGGCAGTTTCATTAGAGTCTCAAAGTGTACCCTTTCAAAATAGATCCATTTATTTTAATTTTTTCCCCATATTTCCACTAGTACATTATAGTTAGACATAATAGTGGGATCTGTTGTTACATATTTGTACATGTACATAATATAACAATACAATTTGGCCAATACCAAACCTCAGTATTTCCCCCTGCTCTCCTTTCCACCTCCACCTGGCTCATCACCTCTACAGATCTTATGAGCCTCCCCGCACCCCATTAACCTACCTTTTTCTTTTCTCTCTCTAGCTTAGATCCATTTGATTTACACATTAAACATAGGAATATTTTCTTATTGCCACAAAGAAATATGATTTTCCTCCATATGGCCCTTTTGGTCTACCTTTAATTTTCCCAGTATTGATAATGACATGGGTTCAAGAAATAGCTCACTTTTCTCTTAACAGGGAGGAAAACATATTGCCAATGTGATGCATGTGGGAACTGACAACTGGGGAGCAGGGTGGAGGGTTAGGGACTCTGGGAGCTGAAGAGCAGTTGCCCTAAAGGCACAGCCACTACAGCTTCTGTTGATTGTTCCCAAGTGGGAACAGGAGTCCAGTTTTGTTAGGCCCTTAAATGTTTTATGATAATCTTGGAAATCTGGGTTCTTATGTAAAACTTAATTTTTAAGTGATGCTATGTCAATTGAATTTTCAATAATGTAGTGAATGTGACAAAAAAGCATTTTACATTATTGACCACCAGGGGAATACAAATTAAAACACAATGAGGTACCACCACCACTACCACCACCAGAATGGCCAAGGTCAATAACATCAAACAATGACAAGGATTTGGAGCCATTGGAATGCTCATACATCACTGGTAGGAATATAAATGGTGTAAAATCACCCAATAAATTGCAGTTTGGGCAATTTGTTATAAAACTAAATATATACCTATTTTATGGTCAGGAATTCTGCTTCTAGGAGGTATTTACCCAAGATAAATGAAAAAGACTTAGATCTAAGTGTGTTCTTAAGAGCTTTATCCCAATAGACAAAGAACTGGAAGTAGGCTAACTGTCCATCAAAAGGAGAATGGATAAACTGTGGTATACTCATGGAATGGATTACTCCTTAGTGATACACAGGAGCAAATTACTGAGGTATGCAACATGGATACATCTCAAAGTATTACACAAAATACACTCAAGTATTGCACAAAAGAGAACATATTAAGGACTCCATTTATATTACATTCTGAACAAAATTAATCTATGATGGAAATCAGAAGATGGTTGCCTCTGCCAATGAAGAGTAACTGGGATGGGTATGAGAAAACTCCCCGGGCTGGTTGCGCTCTGTTAATGCATGTTAGGGTTACGCTGGAGGAGGCACTGGTCAAAACTCAATGAATGTGACCTTGAGATGTGTGCACTTCTTATTGAATTCTGGCATACTGAAGTACTTAGGAGGAAATGTACTGATGTCTGCAAATGACTTTGAAAGGAATTTAAAAAATAAGGATTGTTAGATAGCTAGGTAAGCATAGTGACATGATAAGGACTGAATTTGGGATGCATATAGGAGGGTTCACTATAAAATTCTTTTAGCTTTGCTCTATGAATAATTTAGTAATAAAAATGTTGGAAGGTAAACATTGTATGCAATCCAAAGGAAATATTAACCTGTGTCTTTGTACCAAATTTGACCCCTGGACTGTGAATTCACATCTCTTTTACAATTTTTTTTTTTTTAAATGAAGGATTCTGAGAGATTAAGGAAAATGGACCAAGCACTTCACATACTGAAACTAGAAAACACTCCTAAGAGTGGGCCTGGGATGTTTCTTAGAGCAAGCTCAGACACAATTCTCATGGAAGAGGATCAACAAAGAGGTTGTTGAAAACCTGTTGGCTCAAACAGAAGCTGGGGGAGGCTGATGTTTTGGGGGAGGCTCTGGACCAATTGCACAAGTGGGGCTTACGTCTGAGGGGACGGATCCTTTTTGCCCAGCCACATTCACAAGATGGAGAGCCAATTAGTGAAAGAAAAGGTTAGTTCAGTAAAATAAAAACCCAGCTCTAGTCTTACAGAAGTCAAATTAGTGGCTGAGAATTGACAAATCTCTCAATACTTCTTTGTTGTGGAGCCACTGCTATCCAGGCAACGTGGACCCTGAGATAACTGGGCAGGATAATGACTGTTTGGTGTCACGACTGCTCTTCTCTGAAATGGAGAGGGCCTCCTCCAAGCAGGGCTGGAATAAAAGGTCTTAAGTTTACTTAGTTCTGTTTCTTTATCCTGTCAAGTTTGGGAATTACATTAGACAAAAGCACAGTCTAAAGACTTTGAACTGTGTGTAATGCCCGGGCTCCTGACAGGCTCCTAACCCTGGTGCTCTTCCTTGACCTCATACTCCAAATCAGAGCCCCCTGGTGTGCTGTCTGAGGAGCGCCATGTTAAGAGGGGCTGGTGGGAGGATCCTCACATTTGGAGGGCTTACTATGCTCTGTGTATACTGCTGGGTACTTACATCATGCTAGTTTATTTGGTATTCATGAGAACCCTCAAGTCAGGCCTATTTCCCCTTTGAATGATGAGAAAAATGAGGCTCAGACAAATTGAGAAACTTCCCTGGGTTTCTTGGCCAGTAAATGGTGGAGGTGGGATTAGGGCAGCCAAGGCCACCTGACTCCAAAGTTGGAGAAGACCCTAATGGAGAAGGGCAATCAGAAGGGGTGGGGGGCAGGACTCAATGAGTGGTTTTGCCAGACTTCAAGGGAGGAGCCATTCACAACAGACAGGAGGGAGAAGGAGCTGAGAAGATTTTGCTGATAAAACAACAACAACAAAAACCCAGAAGGCCAGCAGCGGCTTCCCTGTTCCCCAAGCCAACTCAGAGGGACACCGATCCAAATAAGAGGGTTATAGATCTTTTATTTATTTATTTATTTAAACTTTTTTTTTTTAAAGTTGTTGATGGACCTTTATTTTATGTATTTGTATGTGGTGCTTAGGATCTAACCCAGTGCCTCACACATGCTAGGCAAGCACTATACCACTGAGCCACAACCCCAGCCAGATCTTTTATTTTTTTAAACTCTCTTTTCCTCTTATTTGAAAGAAAGCCTTTTAACTGAAACATAAGGTAGTTATAGAAGCAATAAAACTGTCATCAAGGAAGGTATAAGACAGGGGGGCATTATCCATTTCATTAAAAAGTAGGTAACATTGGGGCTGGGGATGTGGCTCAAGCGGTAGTGTGCTCGCCTGGCAAGCGCGGGGCACTGGGTTTGATCCTCGGCACCACATTAAATAAATAAATAAATAAAATAAAGATGTTGTGTACACTGAAAACTAAAAAAAAAACAAATATTAAAAAATTCTCTCTCTCTCTCTCTAAAAAAAAAAGTAGGTATCGCTTATTAGAAAGCTGAGTAAAAGGGACTACATTGCTTTCACCTAAAGCACTGACTTAACATGCCAAAGCCTTGACATATTCCTAAGAATTTCTTAGCTTAGAAAAGTAATCCACAAATGAAGCAACAGAATTCCTTAAATTTTTCTCAGTTTCAAATTAACCTCAGGTATCCTTGGCATTTTGGCCACCTGGTGAGTCATAAATTGTCAGTGAGGATTGTCCACAGGTTACTACTAAATTCCAAGTTCTTGACCAACTCATCCCTGAGAAACTGTCAAAACAAGATGAATTAAATCACCAACAATGTCACTAAAAGTCATAGTTCCACATGTTTATGAGCCTAATGCAGGATTTTACTTGCACAGTTGCTTATTAGTCATGATAGAGGCCTGGTAGCCTGGTGGGCTCTGAAATAAAAAATATGCACTTCTACCAGGGTGAGCTGGTGTTGATTTTGGCTTGATATGAGTGAAAAACATGGGTTTTTTTTTTTTGAATGGGAGATTCTCAAGGGTAACTTTGGCCATCTGTGAACAACTCTCTATCCCGACAGGCACAAATCAAAAGCAGACAGCTCCGGATTCTGAGAGAGCCCACGGGGTCCCTGAAGGATTCCTTTTCCCAAACCACCTCATCCCTGAAAGTCTGAAATGTCTGTCTTATTCACCCAATTGGATTAAGACATTGAGTATTCCTATTAAAATGGGAACAATCTGGGAAAAGATGATATATTAAGGCCTTATTGTGGGAACATGGAGGGCAAGGTAGAAGACCACAAGTTTGAAGCTCCTTTATCTGGGTTCGACTCCTAGTTTTCCCCCCTTAGCCATAATGAACTTATATAACTATTCTGAATCTCAGTATTTTTTATTATTCACAAGTGGGTTGTTATATTGGGTGATGATTTAATGAAATAATATAAATGCAGTACCTAGCATTGTGTCAGAGCCAAATTAGGAACTCAAAAAGGAGTAATTATTATTGTTTCCAGTATGGTCATCAACATAGCTCCAATTAGCTCACTAGACTAGCCAGCCTGTCACCAAGCAATGATGTAAGAGAATGAGACAAAGAGCAAAGGAGCGTTGGTGGGCAGAATAGTGTAAAGGGTCGTCTATACTAAGGATCATGCCAGAGTAGGCAGGCTGGGTCAGAGTATCTTACTTGGGCAGGAGTCTGAATAATCCTGACACCAGGGAATGACCAGTGTTGTAGAAAAGAGGTGTAGCTAAGTGGCAACGTAACAGTGACTTGTTTTAGGAAATAAATAGAATACATTTTTCTCCTTACATAGATGGGTCCTA